AATGAAAATTAAAATAGTACTGAGATTCTTCCCTAGTAAGAATGGCTGTCATCAAATAGTAACAACTACTGGTGAGGAAAAAGGAGCTCTTCTACATTGTTAGTGGGAATGTAAACTCGTACAATCCCATAGAAATCAGTGTGGAAATTCCTCAAAAAAACTAAAACTGTAAATTCCATTCCAGTCAGCTATTCCCTTTGTAGATATTTTTCTGAAAGAGTTAATGACATCATATTATGGGGATACATATGCATATCTCTATAGTTGCACCATTCATATTAGCTAACTCTTGGAAATAACCTATATGTCCATCAGCAGACAAATAGATAAAGAAAATGGAGTACTTACTCTGCCTAAGGAAGAATAAACAAGTCATTTGTAGGAAAGTGGATGTACACTGAGATCATAATGTTAAGTGAAATGATCAGACACTTAAGCTTAAATATCACATGGTTTCTCTTATATAAGAAACCCAAATTATAAAGAGAGCAAAATGAGAACTGGGTGTGGTGGTGCACACCTGTAATCCTAGCACTTGGAAGGCTGAGGCAGGAGGATTGTCGCAAGTTCGAGACCAGCCTGGGCTACAAAGTGAACTGAAGGCCAGCCTGAACTGCATAATGAGACCCTGTCTCAAAAAAAAAAAAAAAAAAAAAAAAAAAAAAAAAAAAAAAAAAAGATCAAAATGAAAGATAATAAAAAGTAGGCAGATAGACCTTTACAAAAGCAAAAGGGTCTAGGAGATGGAGGGACGGGTGATGATGAAAGAATTAAGATATATACATGTGCCAGTGTCCCACTAGTACTAGAAATATGTACTAATAAAGAGTGAAAATTGAAAAATAAAAAATATAGTAGAGAAAAGAAAGGCAGAATTTATCAAGTAGCCTTCTTTAGGCCAGAGCTGCTATCAGGTGCTTTACATTGATCCCTCACCATTTCATCTGTAAAATGAAAATATCTTTTAAGCTAAGCCCAAGAAACTGATCTCAATTTGAAAAAGCTAAGAAGATAGGAAATGACAATCTATAAGACCAGTCATCAACACTGGCAAAAACACAAAACTATGTGCTTTGTATAGTGGTCATAAAATGCTTAAATTGATGAGCATCACTCAGTTGGGGCACAATAGTCAAAACAAAAGACTCACAGACTAGTTTGTGTTTGATATTTCTTAGTGGTGATATAACTTCCCTGAGCCAGTTTTCTCATTACAAAGCAGGTACTTCTCAGGGCTTCGAGGGAAGATTAAAGAAGATAATAGGCAAAAGAACCAGGCATTTAAAAAGAAAATAATTGTTCTAGGCACCTAACGCCCCCCCCCAAAAAAACTGAAAGTAAAAGAAAGTATTAAAGATCAGTATAGAAGTTATAGAAATACATGAAATGGAAAAAAAATCATTAAAAGCAAACTGGTTCTTTAAACAGGTTGATAACGTTGATGAAACGTTAGCTGGACTGTTTATTTTAAAAACTGTAAGATAAACCAGGTATGATAGTACATACCTGTAATCCCACTACTCTGGGATAATGAGGCAATATGATTACAAGTTCAAGTCATGCTTGTGCAATTTGGTGAGACCCTGTCTCAAAATAAATAAATAGAGTTGAGAATGTAGTCACTCAGGAGAAGGACTTAGGTTCAGTCTCCATTAATACCACTCTTTACACACACACAAATGGATGATACAGACTAATACCACAAAAAAGTACTGTATATACCCTATAGACATGAAATGAGAAAACAGTATTATTTTAATGAATCTGAAAAATTACAAAATTGATAAATTTCTAGAAATACACAAATTACCAAAAGTATCTGGAAGAAATATGGCATCTTATATAGCTCTACATCAGGTAAAGTTGCATAGTAATTTCTAACAATTCAGTGAAAAATACAGGCCTATATGTCCTCCTATTGGAGAATTCCATTCCACATTTAAGAAAAGAAAATTTTTTCAGTTTTATTTTCTTGTTTTACACTGGTACTGGCTTAAAAACTCAAATCCTGCACAATCTATTACACTTCTGGTTTTGTATTTGTAACTGTATAAATACTTTTTTTAGTATTCCATCAACTGCCTTCACTTCAGTTTTTGTTTTTGTTGTTTGGGCACCAGGGATTGAACTCATAACCCTATGCTTGACAAGCAGATGCTGCGCTGCTGACCTATATCCCTGGCCCACTTCAGCATATTTTAATGAAACTTCTCTCCTTTTAAAAATTAACAGGTAATAATTGTACATACTTAAGTAGTACAGTAGAATAATTCAGTACACCTGTACAGTGTGTCATGATCAAATCAAGGTAATTTGCATCTTCTTAAACATTTATCATTTAAAAATATAGAATGCTTCAAAAATTGTTATTCCTGAGGAAAGGCCACTCTAATCTTTTTTGCTGTATTTCAGTTGTATTGCGTGTGCTGGGAAAACAAATACTCTTTACTTTTTAAGTCTCATTCTTTTCCCACTTGTATTAGACTTAAAATCATGAAGTCATTTATTTGTTCTTTCTTCAAGTAATTGTCACATTTATACCTTACTAATTACCCGCATATAGGTGGAGATAGCAAGTAAATGTTGGGATTCAGAGAGTTTGTAGATGGAGGTACAAGTTTAGCAATTATGAATGACTAAATGGTATTTAAAGCTCTGTGTCTGGATGACATCACTGGGGTGGGTGTGCAAGGATACATACAGTAAGAGGGACCATTTGATTGAGCCACAACGTAGTAAAGTTCAATCAAGACAGCCCATAAGAATGGAGTGGGACAGTAGGGAGAATGTGTTTCAGAGGACAAGTCAAGATATTGTGGGAAGAGGGGAGGTGTTCTGAGTGAACTGTTTTTGTGAGGTCAAGTTACGTGAACTCTAAGAAATGGCTCCAAGATTTGGCATTGTGTGCCGCAGCACTCACGGCTTTCAAAGCTCCTGGGGGAAAGACAGAGAGGATGAAGACATAAAGATAAGAGACAGTATACAGAAATTTGGGATCAGGTGGAGCTCTCTCTCTAGATGGGGGAGGAAAGGAACTACTTAACTACCGCAGCGTGTTTATTTATGTTTGTCATATGACATCCCTGTGTTTAAGTAGCTCGCCTCTTAGGCCTGTGTTCTCAGGGTGGGAACACCTGTTCATCTGGGTCGCTCTGTGCCCTCAGGGCATTCCTTGGGCTCTTTGAGCTCTCAGTTCAGCACGCGTGAACAATCATTAGCTCAGTGGCTCCTGATAGATGTGAAGGTCGTTGGCAGGGTCACTGACAAGATTGTGTGCAGTGGATTAATGGAAATGATAACCTGATTGAAGTAGTTTTGAACCAATGAAAGAAGCAGAGACAGAAAAGGTAAAAAGCTTTTCTTTTGAGAACTTAATGTACCGAAGATTATTATTAGGTGGTGACTGGAAGGCTATGTGATATCATAGGAGACTTCTTTGATTTTTAAGATGGGAAATGTTATAGCAAGTTTATAAACTAATTGGGATGATTCAGGTGATTTTATAGCAAGTTTGTAATCTAGTAGGGTTATTTAGGAAAAGCCAGGAAAATTAACTATGTAGAAGAGAGGAGGAACAGTGTCCTTTGATAAGTGAGTGGCAGTGGGCTTCAGGGAATGGATAAGGAAGAAAAGGGCCTTTGGTAGATGCACAGAGTTTATATTTAGTGACAGGAAGGAAAGTAGTAGTACCTTCAGATATCACCAAATAAGTTTTCAGCTCTTACTAAGTACAGGCACTATTGTATGGAAATAGAACAAAGACTGAGTCAAGAGGTTAAATAGATTTATGAATAGTTTAGCGAGTTGTCTCATTTTTATATTAACAGCTTACTGTTTGTTGTATACTGTGTCATATTGTATACTACTCCTTATATCAGAATGTTACTGAAAAGTTGTCATCAAGTACTAAATTGCTAAAAATATTTTGTAAATTATATTTGAGTTGAAATATTATGTTTGAGTTCAAATGATAGTGACCATATAATTTATTTTTTGAGTCTTATGTATAATTCTTTGAAAATTCTTGTTTTCTCCCTGGCTGTGTTTTTCCTCATTGGCATATTACTTCTAGCTCCTTTTATATGTTAATAGAGATCAAAGTGATTTTATAATTTAATAAATTAAGTTGCAGTTCTTAATTCTTAGGCCAGTTTCTGTAGCCCTTTGCACAGTAATGAGTTGCCTTCAGACTTTATTATTCATTGTGGTATTGTTTCCATTGCTAAATCTTACTTTATTTTTCTTCATTTCTTTATGATAAGGCAGGTCAGATAATTGAGGACAAAGGTAAATAAAAGTCCTGAAAAGATTTCAAGGCTGTACTTTTAGCTTTAATCATAGATTATTTTACAGATTTTGTCATCTATGTTTTAAAGCAGAGTAACCAATTTTGCAGCTGTTGTTTATAATGTATAAAGACATTACCACAAGTTTAGTGGCTTAAGGAAACACATAGTTACTATCTCACCATTTTTTGTGTGAATGGATGTAAGCTGAGCTGGGACTTCTGCTAAAGGGTCTCATAGCTGGTAACACCTCCATCTTGCCGGCTTGCCGAGGGCCCACTCTCACATTCAGAGGCTTATTGATAGAACTCAGTTCCTTGCGGGCTGCTGAATGGAGGGTTTTAGTTTGTTGTTGTTAGTCTGAAGCTGCACTCACCTCCTTGTCTTGAGGTGATTCCCATGTGCCAGCTCAATAATTTGCTGCTTGCTCTTCACTGCTAGTAAGAGCCTCCTCCAACGCAGGCAGTGGTGTTTTGTGTTGTGTATTAATCACTCTGGCTTGTGGTTGGAGGCAAGTTGTGGGCCTCATCTTCCTACATTCAGTGAGAGGCCATCACAAATGGCATGAACTATGAAACTGGGACCCTAGTTGCCACTCACAGGTACACTGCAATTTATTTGCTGTAGTCTTGCATGGATATATATTAATCTTCTTCAGTAATTTTTGCTACCGATGTAGTAGATAACTTTGGATTTTTAAATTTTTCTATCCAGATTCCATTGGCCGTGACATTCCCAAAATGCTTGCGTTATTCAAAAATGGACATGAAATTAAAGTAGATGAAGAAAGGGAGAACTTTCTCAGTACCAAAATAGCAACAGTAAGTTACAATGGAAATAATGAAGTAGTCTTCTTTTTTGTTTAATGTATTCATGAATAATTTATAAGATACATTTGAACTTGTTTTTGGATCTAGCATTAGAAATGGTACTACACATATAGTGTCTGCCAAAAAGATGTATACACATTTCAGGAAAGGAAAAATATTATGATGTTTTTTCAGTAGATGGTGTTGCCCTCATAAGGGGGGGACCATAGAGGATGTCATATATCACAGAAAACCCACTACATTGCCGACCCTTAAAGAAGAAATTGAAAATACAAGTGCAGCAATCTCAAGGGTACCCAAGCAGCAGGTTGCCATACTAATAACTGACTGGAAGCTAATGGCTACCACTTTGAGTACCCGTTGTAATTGTAGTGGTCAAAGGTAACTTGTGTTCATCTCATGATGTCACAGTAAATTTAATATCAAAATATTTACGCGAGTTTTTCTTTTCTTAAAGTATATGCATTTTTTGGCAGTCTTTGTGTGTGTGCAATTTTTTCTTGTTCTATAAATTGAATGCGTAGATTTTAATGGTACCTAAGAATTTCTTCCTTCCAGAATTGTGTGCTGCTTATTCACATTTATGTGTATGTTGCCTTAGTTATTTATTCTAAGTATGTATGTTTTGTTATCTAATGTTATTGAGAGTAGGATATAAAGTATACAATGCTGGCATGTAGTAGGTATTTTGAAATATTTAATGGAATCAAGTCATTTGATTTATTTTCACAAATTATGTCTGATTTAAAAATTATTTTCTTATTTTTAGAACATGCTGGGAATCAGTTTTCAATTCCATTTTTGGAACACTAATATAGATATGTCAGGATTATAAAACTATGTGTTTACTATTTTACTACCCGTATATTTAAAGTTATTTGTAAATAATTATTTTTTATAGTGCAGGATTTATCTGTTCATAACTATAGGAATAATAATAGTATTGATAGCAAAATTTAAACCCTGCCTACCAAGTATCAGATGATGTAAATACGTTCTGTATATTCTTTCTTTTAATTGTCAAGCATATGAGAGGCAAAATTATTATCCCCATTTTATAGATAAATGTATGGAAGCCCAGAGAGGTTGAAAACTTTGCTACAGTTTCACAGTGAAAACGAGACAGAATAGGTCAGTATTTGAAACTTGAGAGTATCTTCAAGTATCTAGGCTTTTTGTCCCATGCCATCTTGCTTTATGGCTGAAATTATTTTGTTATTGTTTCTCTTTCTCCTGCTCAGTTCTTAGCAGAAATTCTCCATTATAGCCAGCAGCTAGTACTCCAAGCTAATTGGGCTGTGTTCATTGTAGATCATGAGAACTGTAGAAAAAGCATTCAGCTAGCTGTATGATGGGCAATTGTGAAATACCTACGTGCAGCATCATCGTCAAAGCTCAACTTGGACTTACTTGACCTGAGCTCTGCTAGAATCTAGTACTGAAATTTCCTTGTTCCCCAAAGTCCTTGGCAGAGCTTTTTAGTGCTTTTTATTTCTTTGAGTTGACTTACTGTCATCTAGAAAGCAAACAAAAATCCAGATACAGATTTTAAGGGATATTGTGAAACTGCAGAGACTTGAGTTTGAATACCTAGTCTATATAAGGAATGATAGACTTCAAGCAACTGCCTTAAAGCTATTTCCTCATCTATATTCCTCATCAAATTTCCTCATCTATAGACTGTGTATACTAATACTTATTTTGTAATGTGGCTTTGAAGATTAGATAAAATTTTTAAATGGTAGTCCTTGTTGGTACCATTGCTTTGGCTGGCTTTTGGGGACTATAGAATATCCTTATAATATTCTTAATTAAAGATATATTTTCAGTATATTCAGTAGTTGTTAGTTTATATACTTCCTGACTTAACGTGTAAGAATCCATGACATCTCATTTATTTTTTTCAATAAATCCTATAATGATTAAGATATGGGCTCCAGATCATATTACTTGGATTTTTTGGAGACAGAAATTTATTTTTCCTCAGTGAAAAAGTATAGATATAGTAGGAGGCTAAGTACATATTTTAGATTCATTCTGTTGTACTTCTAATCATTGTTCTGGCTTAGAAAGAAATGCATTATCTTGCTTCTGAGCCTGTTTTTCACTATTTAGTATGTACCCACATGTAAAATGGTGGTGATGATACATATGTACTACTAGGGTAGGAAGAAGCAGGTGAGGAGCTGCTACATAACAACAACTATGTAGAAGAGTGTATGTGATTTTTATTTGTTTGTTTTTTACTGGGGATTGAACTATGACCTCCTGCTTGCCAGGTGGGCGCTTGCGCCATTGAGCTAAACCACTGGTCCTGCATGTGATTTAGATGAAGTAATAGAGACCTCACTTACTTTCTCACGTAAAACTGAGAATTACCTTGATACTAAGACCAAAGAAAACTACCATACAACATCATTCATGAACACAGAAGTAAACATTTTAAACTAAGTTTTAACAAATTGAATACTAGAGTATATAAAAAAGGTAATATATCTTGACAGCCTTAGCCTACTTTCTCTTTCTATAACAGAATACCTGAGATTGTATGATTTATAAAGAATAGAGGTTTATGTGGGGTGATGATCCTGAAGCAGAGAAGTTTAAGAGCATGGTGCCAACTCTAGCACTGGCCCCATACTACATCATAATGTGCCTGAAAAATGGAAGAGCAGTCAGGCATGTTGAAGAGGCAGAACACAGGGACTACCTTGCCTTAAAAGAATTTGCTCTCTGGAGAATGAATCCATTTCTGTGAGAAAGGCGTGGATACTCACTCTTAACCTCCTAATCATTTCTAACAGGTCCCACCTCCCAACACCTCCATAATAGCAGTCAAATTTCAACATGATATTTTTGGGAGGCCAAGTTACATTCAGACTGAAGCAGTGACCAAGTAGGGTTTATCCTAGGAATGTCAAGTTTAGTGTATGTAACATTCAACAATCATTTGTTGTAGTTGTCAAACTAAGGCATTCACCTTCGGAGATACAGAGAAAACATTTGACAGGATCCAAACACTGATTTAAGAGTCTCAACAAACGTGGGGTAGAGGTTAGTATCCTCGGGCTTGGGCTGGAGTGCTGCTCAGTGATAGAACATGTGCTTAGCACATGTGAGACCCTGGGTTCAGCTGCAACTTCCTCCCCCAAAAGCAAGATCCTTAATCTGATAAACAATGTTTGAGAAAAACTAACTGCTGATATCATACTTAGTGACAGAAGACTAAGTGCTGCTTTCCTCCTGAGATAAGGAACAAGACAGACTATCTCTTCTTAATGCTTCTGTTCATTGTTGATCTAGAGGTTTTTAGGCAATGTGGTTAGGCAAGAATCAGAGGTAAAAAGGCATCTAAAATAGAAAAGAAATGAAAATGTCATTATTCACCAAGTATATGATCTAGCTAGTAGAACAAAGAAATGATTTAAGTATGGTTGAAGACACAAACTCCTATATAAAAATCATTTGTACTTTTTCTTTTCTTTCTTTCTTTCTTTCTTTGTATTGGGGATTGAACTCACAACCTCGTGCTTGTCAGGCAGGCACTTATGCCGCTGAGCTAAATCCCCAGCCCTTATGTTTTTTGTACAATAGCAGCAAACAATTAAAAATTGATATTTAAAAACAGTGCCATTTCCATTCATCAAAACTGAAATAGGAGAAATCTAACAAAAGATACAAAAGACCTTGTACACTGAATACTTCAAAACATAGTTGAAAGAAATTAAACATCTAAATAAATGGTCAGATGTACTTTGTTCATGCATCTATAGACTGGATATTATTAAATGTCAGTTATCCCCAAAGTTATCTATAGATAAACTTATTGGGTTTTCAAAGTCCAGTCAGCTTTTCTTCTAGAAAATGACTAGCTTATTTTAAAATTCATATGGGAATTGTTATGGTTTGTGTCTGGATGTCCTCCCAAGAACATGTCCTCCCCATCATTTATCATGGGGACAAGCTTCTAGAATTTTTGATTAATTCATGATCCAATGCTGAGATTATAGGTGTGAGTGCTATGGGTGTGGCCTACATACAATATCATATAGAAAGAGTCTTCTCTCCACACTCCTCCCTTTTTATTCTTGTTCCTTTTGTTGTTTTCCACCCCCATGAACTGTGTCCCTGTGCCATTAGCCTCCCTTGCCTTGGAGCTGGCCAAATGTGGACTGACACCTCCACAGACTGTGAGCTAAATCATCCTTTCTCTCCTTCATTTTGGGTGTCAGATATTTCCTCTCAGCAGCAGGAGAAAAGTAGCCAACACAAGAATGTAAAGGATCTGAAACAGCCAAAGTAGCTTTGAAAAATAACAAATTTGGAAAACTATCCAATTTTAAGATTTGTAAAGCTATAGCAATTAAGATAATGTGATACTGATGTCAAGAGATAAAGCAGTCAGTAGATTAGGGTAACACAAAGGACAGAAAACACAAGAATAATTAAATATTTACATGCAATAAAATTAACTTTGACCTACATTTCAAACAGTATCTAATAATTAGTTGAAATGTATAAAAAACTTAAATGTGAGGTCTAAAGCAATAGTACTTCTAAAAGAAAAAGTTGAGTGAAAACTTAAACGCTTCTGCTCTTTAAAAATAGTGTTAAGAGAATAAAAAGGCAAATCATAGATTTCCAAAAAAATATTTAAAATTATGTATCTGATAAGTCACAAATACTTATAAACTCTCCAAACTCAGTAATGGTACTGAATTTTTAAAACTTGGCAAAAGAATTGAACACATTTCACCAAGGATACACAACAGATAGCACACACAAAAAGGTGTTCAGCATCTTTGTCACTACAGCAATGCAAATTAAAACTACAGTGAACTGTCACTACGCATTTAGTGCAGTGAATAAAATTAAAAATAGTGACCATACCAAGTGTTGATGAGGTTGTGGAGGGACTGGACCACTCATGCTATTTGGGAGAGTATTAAATGATATACTGTCTTTGGCAAACAGTTTGCTGGTTTCTTAAG